TGGTGGATGCACACTTGGGACTATGCAATCACTACTCAACTGAAACTAACCAGTACCAGAGCAGGTGACACACAGCTATAACCTGGAGCAGAGACAGAGAAGGGGACAAAGAAAGACTGGGAAACAGACAGGGAGGAAGCAAGACAGCCAGCCACCCACCCAGCAGTAAGGGCTGAATGCAGGGCAATCTATGAATGCAGGTAACATGGAGCCATTACTGTCCCTGACGTGAAGATCCAGGCCCACACCACCAAGGCCGCACCATGCCTTGCTTTACACACCACACGGACTCATAGTCATATCACAGCCCTGCTACACACACTCCTGTGTCACATTCCACACATTCCACACCACGCACACCAAATATGCTATGTACCACACTACACCTCATGTGCCACTCATGTCTCACTCCACACACCACAAACTCCTACAAGACAAAGAGCAACCACAACACGTGTGTTCCACATCCCACATACAAATCAGAGGATCCACACACCTGGACTGTGAGAGCTCAGCTGGTGCTGGGTAAAGAAGGGGAATCCAGACCCAAGAAACACACACAGACACACACACAGACACACACAGACACACACACACACACACACACAGACACACACACACACACACAACACGAACACTAACACACACACAAGCTCACATGTACACACATGCTGACACCCACTCACACACATACATGCTAACACAAACACACACACAAACTCACATGAACACACACACTAACACACGCTCACACACATGCAAACACACATCTACATTCACATACACACACATCCCACAATCAGGCTTTCACTTCCCTGGAGCCTTACCCTATCATCCAGACAAGCCTAGGGCCTATCAACACTCTCCTGAGACCTAGGGACTTTCAGTTCTGCATCTGTCCTGTCTTGCCATTTAGACAGAAGGTGGTTGGTGGACTCAGCTTATTCTCTAGCCCCCAAATCACAGCCGGGGCTGCGTCAGGGAAATCATCAAGGAAACAAACGAATGAACCAGTGAGGGAGATCATGGAGGAACCAGTGTTCTGAGCACTAAGGCAGAAGGGAGGCTGAAGACTGCTTTCAGAGTTTGCGGATTATAAAAGCAGAGGGGAAGGGGGGAAAGGCACGGAGGGAGGCCAGCACATCTGGGATAATCAGGATGGAGGAGGGAGACCTGGAAGCCGGCAGGAAATGGGTGAGTGAAGCCCCCCAACCCATACCGAGCATACACAGGCACACACACAGACACACACACACAGTCACAGAGACTGGGCAGCTCCCTGGAGGCAGGGAGAGGGCGGAAGAATGGATGAGGGCCTCTGTCTGCCTCTCTCCCTCTCTCACATACAGCTGGGCAGGAACAGCTGCTCCACTGTTAGTGTTTGTAGAAGAACCAGGGGAGTGAAAGGAAACACACCCCCCAAGCCGATGGCAGTGACCCCCAAAGCCAGAGCAAGGAGAGAGAGAAAGAAGGCAGTATCAAGGATGGGGTGGGGGTTGAAGAGCTTTGCAGAAATCCAGGCCTGAAGGGTAGGAATTAGTATGGGGGCTGGGCCCACCCCTAGCAGACCAGCAGACATCAAAACCACATGCATTTGTTGTGGAATGAATGAATGAATGAATGAATGACACACACACACACACACACACACACCACGCTGGGTATAGGACAAACAAAAGAGGAATGTGTGAGACAGGACTTCCATCACCACCACATGCCGAGACAGGATTTCTCTGTGTAGCCCTGGCTGTCCTGGACCTTGCTTTGTAGACCAGGCTAGCCTCAAAACTCAAAAGATCTGCCTGCTTCTGCCTTGCCTCCCCAGGGCTGAGATTAAAGGGGTGAACCACTACCTCCTGCAGACACAGGACTTTTACACCAGCAATGGGGAGGTAGAGGCAGGTGAATCTCTGTGAGTTCCAGGCCAGCCAGGCCTATATAGTGAGACCCTGTTTTTGTTTTTGTTTTTAAATGCGGACAACAAAGACTGATCCCAACAGATACATCTACACCACAACTCCTACAGCTGAGGCTCAGGGATCTTTTCTGGAAGAGGGGACAGAAAGACTGCAAGAGCCAGTAGCTCTTTAATGTCAGCATTCAGGAGGCAGAGGCAAGCTGATCTCTAAGTTCGAGGCCAGCCTGGTCTACAGGGTAAGTTCCAGGACAGCCAGGGCTACACAGAGAAACCCTGTCTTGAAAAACCAAACAATTAAAAAAAGGAGCCATAGGCAGAAGTGAGCCACAGATAGACAGATGGACACCAGAGATCCATGATGCTTCCCAGAGCTTCAGATGCAGCAGACACACTGGTACACAGGAGGCTCTGCTGACCCAAATCCAGTCTCCACAGCACCTTCCCACAGCTCTGTGTGTCTGCCTCTGTCGGTCTCTTTCTCTGAAAACCATTTTAGAATCTCCAGGAGAAAAACAGGAAAGGAAACAGATGAGAGAAAAGGCACACAATGTGTGTGCGTGCATACGTGTGCCTGTGTGTGCACACATGTATGTATGGGGCAGGTCTACTCTGGAGAACCCCTAAGGAAAGAAGGGAGAGCAGGACAGGTGAGAAGCTATGGTGGGCAGCAAGGGAGCAACGGGCCATGCTGCTGTGGGTGCTCACCACACCCTTGTGCTCGACGGCTAACACACTACACGACTCCCATACACCCCACAAAACATGTATATCCCAAACCCCAGCCACCCCACACAAACCAACAACAACCCCCACACTACACATAACACATACCAAACACACCCCACACAACACCCTTCCTCCGCACACCAACACACAATATCTATACCTCACACCACACCCTCCCTCATAACCCAAATACACCCTTAACCCCAATCACACCCTAGATCCCATGCGTGTCCTCAGAGTCCACAACCTACACCCACAGCACATGGCAGGGAGGTCAGTACATGCCCCAGAGGAAGGGAGGAGCAGCCGGCGGCCAGGTACAGAGGGCTGGCTTGCAAGCCCTCAGCAGTTACCATGCACAAGCCCACATGCAGGGCCCGTGGCAGTGCTGAGCCCAGGCTGGACCTTTGGTCTGAGGTTTTTGTTTTTTTTTGTTTTGTTTTGTTTTGTTTTGTTTTGTTTGAGACAGGGTTTCTCTGTTAGTCCTGGCTGTCCTAGAGCTCTCTCTGTACATCAGGCTGGCCTCCAATTCACTGAGATCTGCCTGCCTCTGTTGGGATTAAAGACATGCACCACCACCGCCTGGCTGAGTTTCTCTATGAAGGAACAGACAGTCAGCAGCTCAGATGTGAGCCAGTACATGAGGGCTCAAGGGACAGAGACAAAGAAACCCAAGAGACAAGGAAAGGGGTGAGCAGCCAGGCATCACACCCCCACCAGGGAGATGCCCATTCACTGGGCAGGAAGGGCAGGTGAGTCTGGGGTACAAGTGTTATTTGGTTTTTTGTTTTTCCCTTATTCATGCTTTTCTGAATCATCCTACTCTACAAGAAGAAATACTCATTATTCTTGTCCCTGGGAAGTTTTCCTGGAAAACAAACGTATGCAGAGTAGGAACAACCACAACAGAAAGGGCCCCAGGGTCTGATGCTCTGAAGCCTGACAGGGAAGCAGCTGGAAGCCCAGGCCAAGCCATGGCACTTCTTCTGTTGTCTGCACCTGCCCCTGTCTCCATCACATGCAGAGGCCTGTGAAAGCAAACTTAACAGGAGCCACAGTGTGAACTAGAAACCAGAGAAGGCACTGGTGGGGAGAGGAAAGTGACCACCGCCTCCCTCCCCTGCATAGATTTCACCCCATGGACTGGGTCTGGGGGCATCTCAGCCAGCCCTCTCAGCCAGCCCCCCAGCACTTGGCCCAGTGAGTGGGGCTCTGTGAACCACCGTGACTGCCCCAGAAGATTCCAGGGCTCTGAGAAAACTTGCAGGCTGTTCTATAGCCGCTGACACGTTTTGGAGGTTGAATTGGAGTCTCTCGCTAGTAAGAGGGAAGAGATTTCCAGAGTGGAACCAGCCCAGGCCCAGGGTATGAAGCAGGAAATGGACAGAGGACACAGGGAGGAGAAACTGAGAGTGGAAAGGGATAGCTAGAGACAGCATTGCATGGGTGTGTCTGCGGACTCATGCCACCTACTGAGCATGCAGGGCTCACCTGGGTCACCCCCACTCACAGACCACAGGGTGTGTGTGTGCACAGAGCATGCACATACTGAGAATAGAAGAGCGTGTGTAAGCAGAACACAGGCCATAAGCCCCTATCCACACCTGCCTTGCTCCCTGACACACATTTTAAAAGAAAGAAAACAGGACAGACTGTCGAGGCCACCTTACACAAAGGTCCTTGGGCAGCTGGAGTGGCGTGGGAAGAATGGGATGGCCTCAGGTGTCCACTGTGGTACTGGTTTGTGAAGGGCACATGAACTGAGACTGTTCTGGTCTAACTGAGCAGCTAGCAGAGACTTGCAGGCCCGGGTTTATTCTGGAGAAAGGTAGTCTCTTCAGGTCTCCAGATGGGCTGGGGACAAGGCAAGGAAGGTGACGTGGCTTCTCCTGGCCCAGGGTTTACATGGATTCACTCCTACCCAACCCAGGCCGACTGGGACACACACGCACACACACACACACACACACAGAGAGAGAGAGAGAGAGAGAGAGAGAGAGAGAGAGCCTTTGAGATCACTGGGACACACGTACGCGCGCACGTACACACAGACAGACACGCACATGCACACACCCCCTTTGAGATCACCCATGAACACACTCCATGCAAGCTGGACCCTGCTCCGTCCCGCCAGCTGCCCATATCTCACAAGCACCCTTGTCCTAAACTTGGTGCTTCCCCCAGACACTCATATAAGCACAGACATGCTTCACCTGTTCCATCTGACCCATCACCCCCAGGTCTGGAAGCCGCCCAGCTGCAGGGATCAAGGCTCCTAACTGCTATGACCCCTCACATCCAGGACTCTTCTTTCTCTCCCACGTATGATAGATGTTCAATAAACAGCTGGCCAAACTGAGGTCTGTTTGTGTTTAATCAGACAGTATGCAAAGTATGTACAACCAGTTCTGGGTCCCCCTCCTCCCGAGCCTGGGCCATGGAATGTGGGATCCCCAGGCCCTGCCCAGAGCTGGAGGGTCCCCAAGGCCTCTGCATAGTCATCTGAAATCTACAAAACACTGTGAAAGAGAGAGAGAGAAGAGAGAGAGAGAGAGAGAGAGAGAGAGAGAGAGAGAGAGAGAGAACAGGACAATTGAGGCCACCATATACAAAGGTCCTTGAGTAGTTGGGTGGGGAGAACGGGGTGGCAAGCTCAGACTTGCCAGGTGGATGGGAAAACTTGGGCGAGAGACAATGAGAGGAAAGTGGAAATGTCAGGGCAGGCCAAGCTTGGCCTCCTTCCCTACAAGCAGGGCCTGGCTGGCTCAAAGCCCCGGCAGTGGGGACATTATTGCTGTGATGGGGCAGTGGGTGAAATGGTCATATCTGGGAGAGAGTGAGGGTGTTTTTACATGTTAAATATGGACACAAAGGAAGACACACAGGCACATGTATACACACACATACACACAGGGGCCCTCAGTTGAGATGCCACAAATCATCAACTACCCACCTTATAGATGGGGACACTGAGGCAGAGAGAAGCCACCACATACCCCAAGGCTGGGCGGAAGAGTCAGGGACCAAGCAGTCAGTTGACTACTGTCCCGGGGCCCAGCTGTGATCTATACAGGGGCTGAGCAATGGCAGGGGCCACAGCCACAGGGGGCAGAGACTGTAGCTCAGAGAGAGGGCAGGGCCAGTGCTGGAACACAGCAGTGAGGATTCTTGCCCTCCTTTCCCTGGCCAAGGAACTCCCCCACGAGCTGAGGGCGGAGAGCAGGAGGCAGGTGTTGAAATGATTGGGACCAAACGAGGAGAACTAGGGCTCCGGCTCCTTAGTTCTTCCACGTGTACTCGACTGCCTCTGCAGTATGGGAGCTCACTCCATTTCATGGCTGGCTCTTAAGGTCAAAGCCCACCCACATTGTCACTGAGCCTGGTCCACACCGTCACTTTCTGCCCTTCGTTCCTGGCTCACCCATGAGCATCAGTGGCATCAGAATTCTGCCACCTTTAACCCATTCTCCGGCCCCAGCCTGTCCATTGCCTTTAAGGACAGTTTTCATTAGTTCCTGAGGAAGACAGAGGGAGCACCAGGTGCTAACCCACCTCAACCCTGAACTGCCCGTGGTCTTGGGCAAGTCACAGCCCCTCCTGGAATCAGTTTTTCCAACAGAGACATGAGGGCAATGTGTTAGTGATTGCCAAGGGTCCCATGTGGAGGATAGGGTTGAAGGAGTGCTCACTCTGACTCTTATCCCACCGAATGTTAGGCCTTGGGCTGTCTAGCCTGAGAGCCACAGAAGATGGTTCCAGACCCTGTGTTCTACCCAGAAGCCTCCAACAAGGATGGCCAGGGGCAGGAAGTGTACGCAGGCCAAGGGCTGGGCCTCATTCTTCTTTGGAAAGGCTCTTTGGCCAACTTGAAACAAACCCAGGGTGAAGAAAGGGGGAGGGACCAGGTGAGTGGGGTGGGTTGAGGTTGGAAAACCACCCCCAGCACTGCTCTTCACCCAGTGTCTCCTGTGAGAAGTAGGTTGACGCCAGAGAGAATGCAGAGTGGGCCTGTGGCCAGGGCAGGCTACGGGGCAGTCACTCTACCAGCCTCAACCTGTCCTTCCAGGCTGCCCCAGTCCCTGAAGCCCTTCCATGCTCCAGAAGGGCATCACTGAGGCAACTCAGCCCCAGAGACAGGGTGAAGGGAGGCAGGTGCACCAGAGGCCACACCCAGAAGCTGAGGGCGACCTGTGCACACAGTTCCTATAGGTTCTCCCCAGGCTGGTACTGCGGCTCGGTGGATGTGAAGTAGTCCTCCAGGAAGGCCTGCAGGTACTCGAAGGTGGGCCGCTCCTCAGGCTCCTTCCGCCAGCACTGGCACATGAGGTCATGCAGGGACTCAGGGCACTCCGGGGGGCAAGGCATCCGGTAGCCCCGCTCCACCTGGTCCAGCACCTCACGGTTCACCATCCCTATGAACAGAGGGCTGTGAGGAGATGGCTCAAGAGACTGATGCAGCCTAGACAGCTTTCAGTCTATGGTGGATAAAACCCTGTCTCTGAGGCTAACAGCACTGACCAGAGGCAGCCCGAGACCAGAAACCAGCCTCTTTAGTATCCAGCCTAGGAAAGAGGAAGCCCAGAGGTGGTATGTATGTGTGTGGGGGGGACTGGGGGTGAGACTTGCCCCTAGGACCAAGGTCAGGGTCACAGGTGTAGCCTCCTCACCAGGATAGGGCACCCGTCCCTTCGTGGTGAGCTCGGTCAGCAGGATCCCAAAGGACCACACATCTGACTTGATAGTGAACCTGCCGTACAGAGCAGCTTCGGGAGCAGTCCACTTGATGGGGAATTTGGCACCTAAAGGCAAGAAAGCACAGGGTGTCACTACCAGTCTGCCGTAGGAGCATTACCCTCGTTTCCACTTGGCGGACTGACACCATCGGATCCATCCCCAGAGCTCCCACCTTGCCGGGCTGTGTATTCGTTGTCTTCTATGAGCCGGGCCAGACCAAAGTCAGCCACCTTACACACCAGATTCTCCCCAACCAGGATATTGGCAGCTCGGAGGTCCCTGTGCACATAGTTCATCCGTTCCACATAGGCCATACCAGAGGCGATCTGTAGAGACAGAGAGCCTGGCTCAGCGGCCAAACCCACACCCATCCCAGGGTTGTAAGCAGGTGTCCTGGGGTGGTCATTGCCTGGGATGGAGAGACAGCCAAAAACACCTTTCCCATCCCATGTCTTTTCAAGCAAGGAATTCATTCAGCTTATAACAAACATCACTGGTTTGAAAAAGTAGACCACGGCTGAAGAGATGGCTCAGTAGTTAAGGCACTGGCTGCTCTTCCAGAGGTCCCTGAGTTCAAGTCCCAGCAACCACATGGTGACTCACAACCATCTATAATGGAATATGATGCCCTCTTCTGGCCTGTAGGCATATGTGTGGACAGAGCATTCATACCTAAAAAAATACATAAATAAATACAATTTTTAAAAAGAAAAAGAAAAGGTAGACCAGAGCTCAGTGGGGGAAGGGGGACAGGCAAAGGGCAATGGGAAGGTCACAACAAGATGCTGCCCAGGAAGCAGGTGAGTATAAAAAGAGGTCCCAGATGACTCAAGGACACAGGGACATGGCTGGTCCTGTCTATTGTCCCACGTTCCCTCTGAGTCTTAGTTTCCTCATCTACCAAATGGAAATAATAAATGTTAAACTTTTAGTATTTTATTTTAATTATGTATATGTCCATCTCTGATGCTCAGATATGGTATATCGTCCAGGACTGCCACCCCTGGCACCAGCAAGGGCTCCACTGAGTGGCAAGGTGAGATTTGGGTGTAATGAAAGTAGGCCTCCTAGAGGGGGCGCGCTGAGCCCAAGAGCTCAAGGTGTTGTAGAAAAGCTGAGAGACTCACCTGAGCAGCCATGTCCACCAGCTGCGGTAGCCGCAGGTATTTGCCGGTTTCCCCCTTGAGAAAGTCCAGCAGACTACCTGGAGAGAGAGAGAGAGCCAGCTCTAACCCTGCCAGGGTTTCCCTGTGCAGGAAGCTGTGGCTCCAGACCCTGGCTACCTGCTCAACAAGTAAGGAGAAAAGCTTCAATTCTGTGTTTGGCACTCAAAGGTAAACACTCCAGGGAGCTAGACCAAGAAATCCTACTGGGCCCTGTAGTGGGGGATGTGTGTGTGTGGGGTGGGGTGGGGGGGATGTTACATGCAAAAGACCACGTGTAAAGCCCAAGACACATTATGTTTATTTGGACCAAGCCTGCCAGCCAGTGGCTGCCTGGGGCTGGGGAGTCCCATCTCTAAAGGCAGCAGGCAACTTTGGAGTAATGTGGGTGCTATGGATGCATTTTTTTGTTTTGTTCTGAGACGGTGTCTCAAGTAGACCAACTCACTATGCAATGGAGGCTAACCTTGAACTCTCGATCTTCCTCCTCCTCCCCTCTCAGGGCTGGGGTTACAGGTCATCATGCCTAATTGGCAAAGTGCTGAGGATCAAACCTAAGGCCAAATCCAGGGCCTTGGGCATGCTAGACACTCTGCCAACTGAGCTACATCCCCAACCCCACACTGCTGTTTGCTGAGACAGTCTTGCTATGTAGCCAGCCTCGCCTCAGATTCAGGGTCCTCCTGCTTCAAGGCCCGGGCACTGGGATTGTGGTGTGAGCCACCAAACCACCCAGCGACAACAGCGATCGTAACAGTGCTAAAGGACAAAAGGATAACCCTCTAAAAAAGTATTATTTCTTGTTATTATTTATGAACGGAGTGAGGCAGTCCCTCAGGTAACCATCCACTCATCGGGGTTGGCTCAGGGTAAGAAGTGTGGCCTGCCCTGCCCAGGCCCCTAATTGGAACTCACTCCAGGCACAGGCCTTACCCTTGCTCATGTACTCTGTCACGATGTAAATGGGTTCCTCCGACACCACCGCATACAGCTGCACCAGTTTCTCATGCCTCAGTTTCTTCATGACTTGGGCCTCCTGCAGGAAGGCCTCTGGAGACATGGTGCCCGGCTTCAGGGTTTTGATGGCAACCCTCGTGGTGCCATTCCAGGTCCCTGTGCGGGAGGGACAGCAACCTCAATACAGGCCACCATTCTGTCGAACTGGGGCCAGGCTAGCCTGCATGGGTCTTATCTTAACTCTTCCCCCCCCCCCAACTCATGGAATGGGCTCAAGCAAGGCCAGGGACCTTACTGAGACTCCGTATTCCCACTTACAAAATGGACTCAAGGAATGGAAAGTGCCCCCAGGGCTGTGAAATGTGTGTCTGGAGCCTACTAACAAACCATAGCTGCTATTAGATATTGATTGATCAGGTATGCTGCCAGAAAGCAGGACAGCAGCCTGATGGGCAGGTGACCAAGGTCCCATCTCAACTACTTCCACTTGGGGTGACCGTGTTTCTGCTGGGTAGGGCACTGTCAGTACTCCAGGCATCAGCAACCAGAGCATGGGACAGAGAAGAGGGAGGTCTGTGTCTGGGGCCACTGAGGACACCAGGACAAGAGGTTATACCACACTAGGCAGGGAACTGACAGGCCAGCCTGGGATCCTTGTCACAGGACTAGGTCTGAAGGTAGCGTAGGTCAGCTCTCTAGCCCTTCTTGAGTCAGGCCATCCAGGGATCTGTTTCCTGGTCTATGTAGAGCCCCAGAAAGAGGTGGGAGGCTCTCTCAGACCCATGACACTCTTGCCAAGAATCACAGTTGAGAAGGACCAAGGCTACGGCTCACCCAGGTTCTGCCCAGACACTCATTTTGGTCTGAGCTTAGAAGCGGGCTTCTCCTTCTGCCCTTCCTCCTCATAGCCCAGGACTTCCCTTCCTCACCTAGCCCCCAGGCCCTCTAGTGCCCTCTTAAGGGAGGAGAGTGAAATGGTCCAGCCACTGAAGCCCCAACCAGTCTCCCTCTACTCCTGAGTGAGCAGAGAGCAGCTAGTGGCAGAGGGACCTGGGTTTGGTTAGTGCTGTCTGCAGTTCACGGTCACAGGGGACTCCCACGGGCTCCAGGGTTAGACAGGAAATGGGACATTGACTTCCCACTAATGCTTCCCCACAGCACTTTCTCTTTCTTGTCCTCCTAATATGCAGATGCCTCTTGAAGCTTAACATCAGTCCCCATTTTACATCAGGAGGTTGAGGCTTGCTCTGAGACCTGACCAGACACTCATGGGCCCTGGAGGACTGTGGTGCCCAGGCCCCAGCTGCTCTTGGTACACAGCTGTCCTAGTCTTTACATGCAGGGGCTATAAGGAGTTGAGTGTGCCCATCTCAGTGCTGACCCCAGCTGGGTCATGGTCAGGGGGAAGGGGCATGAGCAAGGATGTTACATTTGGGTTTGCAAGTGTCGTAGGAAACGTGATACTCTGCACAGTTAATGTACAATAATAAAATAAAAGCAGAGGCAATTAAAGAGAGGGGGTCCCAGGGCTCTTGAGCTGTCTGGCTGGGATGGGGACAGGGGATGTGTGTTCCTTACCCATCCACACCTCTCCGAAGCAGCCTTGGCCCAACTTGACCTCCAGACGCAAGGACTCCCGGGGGATCTCCCAGGCATCCTTGGCCAGGCCCTGGGTCTGAGGCTTGGACGTGGGGCACACGGTAGTGAGGCGGTGGCACAGGCCATCAGCATGCTCTGAAGATGGAGGCAGGGATTGGGGCTCAGGCAGGGTGCCACAGCAGGCTGGCTTCCCTGTCCTGGGAATATGGCCCTATGGATCATGTACACACCAGCTCTGGGGATAGACAGGCACCCTCCTGTATGTCTCCACTCCCCACAGGCCTGCAGCACAAAATTTCCCTGCTCCATTCACTCATTCATTCACGAATCCATCAGATTTGAGGGTGCCAGAGAACCAGCAGGAACAGGTATGGGAGCCTACCCTAGGGAAGCCATAGACACCACCACCACCCGCCCCCCAGTCACCTATCAAATTCCCTAGCCACCTCTCAGGACCACAGATGTAACAGAGTATAGTTTGGGAGGGGGAGTCAGGCAGGCTTTGGGAATCCTTGGGGAGCACTGGAAGGCATCCCAGAGGAAGAGGTTCCTGGCCTAGCTTTAGGGGGTAACTAGGGTGGTACCCCAAACATCACACAGCCTGTGCAAAGACAAGATCAACTGTGGTGTTGGAAAAGCTGCCAGCTTTGGGGAACTGATGGGTGAAGGCCTGGAGCAACCTTTAGCCACTGGGCATGGAGTCTCACCCTGGAGGATTTGGTCTGGGCCCCAATAAGGCCCAGAGGAAGAGGCTGACTGACAGAGAGGCAGCTGGTCCTAGAGAAGCCAGAGGCCGGGGCTGAGGGAACAGCTCAGGCAGCTTAAGCCTGCAGCCACTATGCACATCAGCCTGGCACTGCACACAGCCCGGCCACCAGCATCCCAGCTCCAGCCCCCTCGCTGTTCTCTATCAAAGAGGCCTCCCCTCCTCCTCTCCCAGGAACCGGTTCAAACCAGTCTTAGGGCTGCAGAAACAATCACCACCGGCTTCTGCCCCTCCCTTCTAGCTTGCTCAAAGCAGACCCCTCCTCATCAGCCAGCTGCAGAGGAAGGAAGGAGGGGGCTGGGCAGGGAGGGAGGAGGTGGAGGACAGGCATCCCAGGGCTAGGGAAGCACACCCTGTGGTCCCTACCCCGTCCTGGGGTGGCAGCCAGTGAGTCCCCACACAGCTAGGGGATACTCACTGGAGTAGTAAGCCACTAGCTGCTGCAGGCTGTTGAACTGGGTGCGGGAGGTGATGTAGAAGCCACCGCTGTCCAGTTTTCGGATCTTATAGTGTTTCACATTGAGGCCCTTGGCATTGTCGAAGTCGGATACAGAAAGGCAGTAGGCACCTGTGGGCAGGCAGGAAGGAGACGTCTGTGGCACCCTGCTGATGTGTCCCTTACCTGAGGAAGTAAGTTCAGTCCTTACCCTCTTTCAGCACCTCATGTGATAAGGAACAGGCTCCAGGGCAGCCATGCAGGCAGTCAGGCAAGGTATGAAACCTCCATGCCAGGGATTCCCCCAAACGCTTAGCCTTGGTAAGATCTCCGAATCCCAAGTGGGCTTCTAACTGTGTGACCCTGCCAAGACACTGCTTGTCCCCTATGGGCCTTAGTTTCCTCCTCTAGACAATGAGACCACTGTGTACTCTACAAGTACCCCATACATGCTGGCTGGGGTCTGGGAATAGCCGCAGGCAGCTGTGTGTTCTTAGGGTGCCTGCTGCCATCTCTGAGTCTGTGCACTCCCAGGTCTGTCCTGTTCTGCTTTCTGGAGACCATTGGAAAAGACAGGAGTAGTGGCTGGCTATGTGGACATATGTGAGTACTGACCCTGGTATCCATAGTAGTCCAGGGCAGGAGGCAAACACTGAGTTTAGCCTGTGGGGACTGCCCCTCCCTGCCTCCCCGGAACCTAGAAAAACAGTTGCAGGCAATGTCCTGAACAGAAACCTTTGTTAAATAGAACCAGGGACATCTGGGGTAGCATCGAGGTACAAAGGGAGCCCCAGAGGCAGGGCACAGGCTCCAGAGACCTAACAGGTAGTGGGCAGCTCTGAATGGAAGGCCTCCCTATCACCCACTGCAGAGACCCCTGGAGCCCTGCTGGACATCGGCAGGGAGATATGATGACCCTCTGGTAACCTGTGAGTGAGACCGGTGGGGCTGGACCTGGGACCCACCCTTGACTGTCTCAAAGCTACACTGGGAAGCGACAGTTTCTGCAGATGGCCCAAATCATGTTCATACAGAAGGCACGAGGCCATGGCCAAATGGGACCACATATACACATGGTAGCATCATGCCCAGGGACCCTGTGCTCACATCCCTCCGCCCCCCAGCCCCAGGAACCAGGACCACACCACCACATTTCACTCCCAAGCAGCTCTGGCTAACCCCAACCCCAACAGTGTACAAGCTCACATGGAGGTGCATGCACTCTTCCATCTCCCGCTGAGCCCCAGGCCCACAGGAAGCAGCCTGGCTTGGTTGCCATGGTGATGGGCTAGGAGAAGGGGCAGGAACCCAACAGAGACAGACTGTGGGGGAAGGGGAAGGCCAGGAAAGAACCCTGGGAAAGGGGAAAGGGAAACAGAGGGGCCCCCTGCATCCATAGTCATCCCAGGAACAAGTGTGACTGTGTGAGCTCTTCATTCCCTGTGCCCACTCCCCATGTGAGAATCTGAGGCCACAGCAGAAAGCCTCAGCTTGGGTGCCCTGGCCACCTCTGGATTACTGTCTTCCTCAGGCACCATCTTGATTTAATTCCTGCTATCACCTCCACCGAAGGGCTCTTCCCTCCCCATACCACGTACCAAACTCCTATTCACTCTCCAATACCCAGCTCAAACAATACCCTCAAAGCTGAGTTCCACCAGCTACAGATGTCTCAGGCATACCTTTCGTTGTCTCACTCTCCCTCACAAGGAAGGTCCCTCTTGGGTTCTCAGCATTGAGCAGTAGCCGCTCTGACTCCCGTCTAGTGATCTTGCCAAAGTACCACCTGGGGTGGGGGGACAAATCTGTGTTGGTTGGCCAGTGTTCACACCTACAATGCTGGCCCTGGGTACTGGGACTCAGAGTGGCTGACTGCTGCCAATCAGGCCCAGGAGGGACACTGTGCTGGCGGTGGCAGTAGCAGCCGACAGTAGCTAAACGACATACTCACTCCTCAGCCTGGATGGAGTCGGAGGGTGCCACATAGTTGCTAGGGATGTAACCGGTCTGTCCCGTGCTCAGCGAGTGTGCCAGCCACCAGTCTCCCTCTCTGAGCAGATGGGAGGGAGCAAAGAATGATGTCATCAGGGAGGTCAGGGTCGGCAACCCTGACCTTCCCAGGTACATGGCCAGGCTCTGCAGCAATGGGAGCTGGGCCAGCCTGTGTCCACAGCAAGCCAGCAGGAGCTGGTCTGGACCTCACACCTCCCTGTCACAATGACCCAGAAGGATGCCACCCAAAACCTCAGCAGAACTGAGCCCTGTCAGCTCAGAGGCACTGTCCAGAAGTGCATAGCGGCCTGCAGGTGCCAAGGGCTGCTTTGGGAGAGAGAGGGGGAGGGAGCTCCCTGTCTGAGGGAGGAGGAAGGGTAAGCAGGGTTTACATGAGATGGATGCCAGATTAGACCTTCAAAGTCTCCCCAAGTCCTGACAGCCCTGACACCCAATGGAGACAAGGTTGGCCCTTCTGGGGCCCAGCAACAGTCCAGGCCCATCCCTTCAAACAAGCAATACTTGCCCCTATCCCAAATCATAGCTCACTCCTAAAAGTCCTTAACCGAAACTACAAGCCTCCTCCTGCAGCCTACACCATCCATGGGGAAAGTGAAGTCAGAGAGAACTGGGCCATGCCCAAAGTCACACAGCGAGTCATGGGGAATGAGCCAGCAGAGCCCCAGTGCCCAGAGCCCTCTACACTTACTGCCCCAGGAAGAAGGGGAGGAAGGAGGAAGAGGGAGGAGGGAGGAGGAGGACTCCCAGCAGCATTCGGGCTCTGGGCCTGGGCAGGAGGGTGAGGGGAGGAAGTACCTTTGCAGCCATCTGAATGTGAACCAGGTCTGGCTGGAGCAGGGGTCCAGAGACAGAGGAGGGAGGAGCAAGCGAGAGCCCAACCGGAGAGAAGAGGTAGAGATGGGGGTGGTGAGAGGCCGTGGTAGGGGGTCAAGGGAGAGAGCGAGAGCCAGGCAGTGCTGGGGACACTGGGAACAGGGCTGGGGGCAGCCAGAGGCCTCACATCCAAAGCAATCAAAGGAGACAGGGCAAAGGCTGGAGGTTTGAGGGGAGATCTGAGGACAGGACCTGGGAGGTGGAGTCCAGCCCTTCCCACACCCTGAACAGATGGAAGACTGAGGCCAGAGAAGCAAAGGACTCTGTGCAAGGTCACACAGCCAAGCCAGGTCTTGCCCAGGGAAGGTGTCTCCCTGTGGGTACCACGAGGCTCAATGGCTCTCCAGCTCATCTCCATGCAAGGTTGGGGGGTTTGGCAAGGCGGGTGTCACATGAGTCAGCTGGTGTTGTCCTTGGCCCCACCTTGACTCTAAGAAGATGCACAGCAACCCCACCCCGGCCCAGAGATGGGAAGGCCCTGGCCTCACATCACACAGCCCCAGCTTGAACACACAGGGTGTCTGAGCACACCTTCACCCAAATTTACAGATGGATAGGTTGAGGCTGGAGCAAGTGGGGCTAGGGAGCTTGAAGGACCTGCTGGAGGCCAGGTGAGCATTAGACCCTGACGCTTCTAGATGGCTGTGTGCAGTGAAGAGGGTATGACTGGAGCCGTGCAGGACAGACACACAGAAAGGCTGCAAGCTCACCCAGCACCCGTGCCCCAAAGCTCTACCCTGCTGTCTGATTTGACCCCCAAGGTTATCCTACAAGGAAGAAGGCAAGACTCCCACCCCCAGCTGATGAAAGTACATTTGAGACAGGAGGAAAACGCAGTCACTCTGGCAAGAGAGACCAGTGTTTTCTTTATAGAGTTGGTGAAATGAGGTGTGGAGAAGAGGGTTTGCCCACGGCTACAGACTCAGGTCCAAAGCTCTCTAAAATCTTTCAATCCAAAGCATCCATCTCCCCGATGGGGAAAGAGAGGCACAGAGAGAGCCATCATTTGCCCAAAGCCACACAGCGTAGCCAATGGCAGAGAGAGGCTGAAATCAAGGGGCCTCTGATGACGACAGCCAAATGCAGCAACCTGTATCCAGAGGCTGAGATCCCCAGAAGCAAAGGGACAGGAGACAGTCTAGGAAAGGGAGAGCACATGTCCAGGTTCCATCCTGGGCTTGCTACTCAGTAGCCATGTGGCCTTGGACAAGGACCTTCACAACTCCGAGCCTCAGTTTCCTCATATGTAAAATAGACCAGCTCCTCCATCATTACTGCTGCCTCCAGTGTCAGAGATAACAAGATGAAGGAGGTATGGGTGAGGATGGCTGGCACAGCACATGGCACCTGCTCGCTTTTGCCTCCCACAGAGGGCAGTTCCACCCTGGATCTTGAGGGATGAATAGGAGTTCACCAGATGGATAGAGGAGAAGGAATATTTCAGGCCGCATGCACAAGGATCAGGAGGCGTGAGCAGCGAGACATATCCAGGGGTGTGGAAAAGCTTGCCTCCCTGGCCAGGCCTGTGGGGCTCTCAGTGATGGATTCCTGTATCCGCCAGAACACCCCAAATCAAACTCCCCAAGCCTTACCTGCTCCAAGGAGAGGCCCCCAATGCCCAACACAAACCTCCAACCAGCAGTGCCCCCACCTCGGGATGTGCCTGCCACTCTTACCTGCAGTAGCCCACTGTCTTTCCTTGAATGGGCAGCCCCTCCTCATGGCCATCTTTTGGGGACCCCAGCCTACCTCTATCCACTATTGGCCTGGCCTGGGGCAGCCCACTCCCTACCACACTGCCTCCCCCCCTGGCCTGCAGAATGCATGTAGCTGGCACTCAATGTGGAATCACAAACCAGAAGAGGGAGGTGGTGAGCTAACAGGAAGGTATGGGGAGAAGATGGAGGGGGGACAGGGATGGGGAGGGAGCTGGAGACCACGAGCAGGGCAGTGGGGAAAGCACATGCAGAGAGCAGCCCCCAGCCTCAGCGAAGCATCCCCCTCCACCTGGCCTCGGTACACACCTGACATCCACCTTCCTCCTAAGGGCCAGCGAGAGAGAAGCAGAGAGAGGGAGAGGCTGAGGTGCGAAGGCAGGGCCCAGGAAAAGGGAGGACAGCGGTAGGGGTCTAGGGAGGGCCCCCACCCACCAAGGGCAGAAGCGGCCCTGCGGACTCTTCACCGCCCTCTGCCGGCAGCTCTGGGTATAGACAGGCCCACGCCCCCAGTGCATTCTGGCAGTGCCACTCACGTGTTGTTGACAATCTGTAGCCGCTCTCCTTTCTTGAAGGACAGGTCAGTCTCTGTCCTTGACTCATAGTCATAGAGGGCCACAAAGGTGGTCACCCCACCTGCAGAGAGGGATTGGAGATGTCAAGAGCCTTGGAGGCAGGGGTGGGTGTGGAGGGGTGGCGACAGACTGCACACTGAGTCCCTGTGAAGGAGCTAGGGGCCTGTGCCTCCCTGCGGGGCTGCAGATAGGCTAAGTGCTCCCTGTCTGGCATGTCTAGCTGACACAAGCAGAAGCCCCAGAGAACACGCACCCTTGTTCTGTTCAGACCCCAGCACACAGTGGTGACTCTGCCTCTCTGTGTATGTACCTGGAAGCTCTGGGTATCTGGGCCATGCTGCAGGGCCCTTCCCCTCAGTCTCTCCTCACCGGCAGCCCACCCTCCGTTGCCTAAGGCTCCACAATTCTTCTCAAATGAACCAATGGATGTGTGGCTGAGACTGGCAGAAGCAGACAGTCTGTCCAAGGGTCGCCTGTGGTGGGCTGTGGAGCTGGGCACCCAGCCCCTGTCTGCATCCCGTGTGCAAGCAATGACTGCAGGTGCACAACCGCATCTGAGGGTGCAAGGCTGTATGCACGCCTGTGTCTGTGTGTGCTGCATTGCGGGTGCATCTGAGGGTGCAAGGCGTATGCACGCCTGTGTCTGTGTGTGCTGCATTGGGGGTGCATCTGAGGGTGCAAGGCTGTATGCACGCCTGACACCTGTATCTGTGTGTGCTACGTTGGGGTTGCCTAGCCTATTTGTGCCTCCAGGAGCGGAGTGAACACTGTGAGCATTTCCATGGTGTCTCCACTCAGTGTGGGCACATGCCCAGTGTGGGCACATAACATAGCTAGGTCTGGTCGTGAGAGGTGCCTGTGTAGGTGTGCAGCTGTGCGTGTGGCTGGGTCTGAGTGTAGGATTTGCACGAGTGGGTGTGTAGCCGTGCACTCATCCGGCAGGAGCTTGAGTCACCCGGCTCAGCCCCTCGGTGTCGGGGCTGCCGCACCTCGCAGAGCCAACAGAGGGCGCAGGGGCGCACTCGGGCCACCGCACAGCGGAATCGGGAACAAAGGCTGGACGGGAGGCAGCAGCTAGGCGGTCCAGGGCAGTCCTTCCCTCTGGACCTCAGGGTCCCCTACAGCCCTCTCCTTCGGACCCCATTATGCTCTGAACCCAGAAGGCCCCAAAGCGGCAGGAACCCCTCTGTCTAGTTTACGAGTCCTTCCCCACTCTCAGGTCCTGGTAAACCAAATACCCAGAGCCCAGAGAGGGTGCACCTCAGCCCAGGGACACCCAGCAAAGCGGAGAGCCGACCTGCCAGAGGCCCGGCCCTCTGCGGGGAGGTGACCGTGTCCGAAGAGTTGAAGCCTCCGAAGAGCTTGGACTCAGCGGCCGTGGTGGCCACGAAGGCGGCGCTGGGCCCTCGGTGGCCGTCGGCGGAGGCGGGCTTGCTAGGTGTCTGCGAAGCCGGGAAGGCTCCCCCGGCCCCGTGCACGTTCTCGGCGGGCTCCAGGCTGCGGCGCCTCTGGCTGGCATCTTTGGGCTTGCTCTTGTTGCTGCCCATGATCCTGGCTGGGGGCGACAGAAGACCACGAGGTAAAGGAGAGCCTCTGAGAGCAGACAAGGCACCCCACCCACTCAGCAGCTAGGGAAAGAGTCAGCCTGGGAGAGCTGGCCTCACCGTTCCTTCACTTGTAAAATGGGCGTGTTGTTGGCACTTTAGGACCCAGCTACACCAGTCCAAAGCCCCGACCACAGCTACCCAAAGTCAGTTTCAGTCCTTTGTGCGCAGGGGCACTGAATCATATCAGGGTTCCAAGCACACAGGAGGGGTAAACTTAAGTTTGAGCAGTTGTTTAACATGGTGGTATGTGTGTGGGGGGGGGCGGAGGGCTAAATATGAAGATAGCGGCAGGAGTACGGTATGTGGCTTGAAGAAGGGATGCCCGCCGGGCCTGTTCTCCAGCCACCGGACCTCTGCAAACACTGCTCGCTGACAGCTTCACTGGGAAAATCAGTACCCTTCAGCTCTCAGCTCGAAAGTCACTTTCTGGGTTGGAGAGATGGCTCATCAGGTAAGGGCACCTGCCGCAAACCCTGCTAACCTCAGTTCAATTCCCAGGACCCACATGGTGGAGAGGTGGGAGGAATGGTCCTGCGAGTTGTCCTCTGATTTCTGACCCTCACACATGCCATGGCTCACACACACACCTCCCCATAAGCACATAGAATAAAAAAAAAATAAAGTCCAATACAAATGTTTCAAGTCTCCTCCTTTAGGAGGGCCCCCCAAATCCTTTCATGAGCCCCCTGACTACTGTACCCCCTTGGTTACAGACAACCCCCTCTTCTTTTAATCACTACAACTGTTCACTGGAGTGCACTGAGTGAGGTACACAGTAGGTGCTTAATGAACAGCCAAAAGAATGATGCGCCGTGAGAGAAATCTGAGTTCAAAGTTGAAGCCCAAAGTTTGGGAGGTCCTGGGACTAGAATACACAGAGGGAACCACGCTGAAGGCTCCAGGGCATCCAATGCCCTGCTATGCTCCTCCACATCCGTGCCCAACCCAGGAAGCTGGGCTGGGGGCTCCTCTCTCTCTCGTCTCCACTCACCTGGTGGGCAGCAGGGCTACCCCAGTGGATCTGGGGAGCAGCCTGGGGACTGGGCAAAAACACCAGCTGTGGCGTCCGGGGTCTTAGCCTAGAGACCCTGCTCCACCTCTCCCACTGGGTGTCCCTAGGCGAGTTGCTCCCCTTCTCTGGGCCTCGACATCCGCATCTGCAGAGCCTCTGTGGGGGTGTGAACATGGAACCCATTAGAGCTTTCACTCGAGGGCCAGCAGAAGCCTCCCCTTGCCAAAATGCCCTTTGGATTTTCCAAAGATCCTGGGAATGAGAGAAAGGGAGCTGGCACGGTGGTCTGGAAGGCTCAGAAGCCAACTCCCCAGTTCTGGTCTCAGCTGTCTAGTCTACACCAGTATGACCCCTATGCCATTTCTTACCCTTATGTAATAGAGCTATGGCAGGGCCAAATGGGACCATAGCAGCAGTCACTTAGCACACTAGGTCACTGGCATGTGTTCTGGATGTGCCAACAGGGGGTGGGTGGGGATGAGTGGGGGTGGAACCACTGGGATGCAGAAGGCCTCAGCATCAAGCCAGGTGTCCTTAAAGAACAGCTGTCCGCAGCACTAAGCCCAGCTCTGTGGCTCCTATGCATGGGGACCTGGGTATAGCAGCCAGCCCTTTACTCTCAGATATGTGGAGATGTACGCTGGGGTGTGGCTAAGGCTGACACCCAGACTCAGAGAATGTGGGGCTAGGCTTGCCCAGGAACCCAAGCAATCACCAGACTCCCAAGGGCCAGGCCAGCAGTGGACAGTAAGGAAACACCTGTTTCCATGGCAACTCATTCCCTCCAGGTCATGAGGGGTCGGCTAACCAATGGGTTTCCCTATGGCCTGGCTTGCTAGAAGCCAGCCCAGTTGGTCCCCTCAACCCCCGGGGAAGTTGTACAGTTCCTGGACATCAGATCCTTGGCTAACGGTTCCAGAAGTACTTTAAGAGACAATACAAAATATAAAAGATTTTAAAATAAAATCTATTTACTATATACAAAGAATTGTCTGAGTGTAAGAGCTTTCTTTGGAGTGAGCATAACAGTGCATAGTGGGCCCCCTGTCATTGGAGGGGATCAAGAATGTCTCTTGGCAGATGTGCCTAAAGAGAGGAGGAGAACCAGCCCCCGGAAGATGCATGCCCCATCTTTTGAGGAGATGGAACATGGGTATAGGTCCTTCACTTGAGACCTTACACTAACCAATGGACACACATACCTCCCAGTATACAGAAAGTAAAGTGGGCAAATCCAAGGAGACCTGGGCCACCGGATGCAAGGCTGGCTGGTGTGGGGGATAGGATCTGTCTGTGGTTAATGCTGGTTATACAGACACCAGGTATCTGAAGAGGCAGCAGGGTTGGGAGCCAGCCCAGGAGTGGGTTGTAGCAAGACAGGTGACACTCAGCACCCTCTGAGTCTAAGACGGGAAATCAAGGGATTGTGGGAAAGGAAAGAGCACCTCACACAAGCTGTTCAAGCCTCTCTGTCCAAGCTGAGAGCCCATAACTCCAGCACAAGTGAAGCTTGCAATGAGGCTGCCGGTGTAGGTAACTGCCCCTCCTTGTAGGGGTATTTCCAATAAGAACTCAAGTAGGGCCAGAGAGATGGCTCAGCCAGGAAATGCTGCTGTGGAGCCTGACAGCCAGAACTCCAGGCACAGAACCACAGTGAGGAGGGACCCTGGAAAGGGGTCTTCTGACCTCAACATGCTTGCTGTGGCTTGCGTGTGCCCACACTCATACATACACACAATAATAAATAAAGACTAAACTAGCAATCAACCATGGTTAAGGTCCAAGATCGAGGGGCCTTCCAGTATGACCTTTCTCTGTTTCCAGATAAACCTGCCATTTTTTTCTTTTATGTGCATTGATGTTTTGCCTGGATATATGTCTTGTGAGGGTGTCAAGTCCTCTGGAACTGGAGGTACAGATGGGTGTGAGTTGCCATGTGGGTGCTAGGAATTGAACCTTGGTTCTCTGGAAGAGCAGCCATGCTCTTAACTGCTGAACCATCTTTCCAGCCCCCAAACCTGCCATTTTTCTAGCAATCTCCAAACCCCATTCACAGTCAAAGGCTCCTTGTTCCATCTGTGTGGCCCAAGGTTTCACCATCACACTTTAATTCTCCCCAAGACGCACAGAGCCACCCTACAATCTCACCTGGGATGGAAATGGGGCTAGAAAGATGGCTCAGTGGTTATGAACCCAGGTTCAGGTCCCAGCACCCATGACAAGCCTGGCATCGGGCAAACGCCTGAAAGTCCGGGATGGAGGGATCCAATGCCCTCTTCCAGCCACCTAGCACAAAGGCACACACACACACACACACACACACACACACACACACACACACACACACACACACACACACACACACACACCACACAAATAATAAATCTTTTCTTTTTAAAAGGGGGACTGGAGGCTGGAGAGATGGCTCAGAGGTTAATAGCACTGGCTGCTATCGCAGAGGTCCTGAGTTCAATTCCCAGCAACCTCATGGTGGCTCACAGCCATCTGTAATGAGATCTGGGGCTCACAACTATCTATAATGAGATCTGGTGCCATCTTCTGGCCTGCAAGCATACATGCAGATAGAATGCTGTATACATAATAAATCATTTTTTTTGAAAAAGGGGGGACTGGGTGTGGTGACGCACACCTGTAATCCCAGCACTCAGGAGGCAGAGACAGGCAGATCTGTCAGTTCAAAGCCAGCCTACTCTGCACAGTGACTTCAAGGCCAACCAGGGCTACATAATAAGACCTTACCTCAGAAAAAGAGTAGGGGCAGGGAAAGAAAGAGAAGACAAGGAGACAAGTCTTAAAAACTCCTTGAGCAACACAATTCCAAAGCCTCCAAAATTTTACTCACAGCTAGAGCTAAGAGACTGGCAGCCCTTCAGAAGCCCCACCAACACCTGTGTGTCCTGTCCTTTTCATATGCGTTTCTCTTTCTGTTAAACCCCATATTTAAATTGCATCTGTGTGTGTGCACACAAGAGGTGTACATGCTTCTGTGTACCTGTGGGGGATGCACTCACCAGCACATGTAGAAAGCCAGATGCTGCCAAGAGGACGGCTTCCTTGGTTGCTTCTTCACCTTATCTTTTCCAGACAGGGTCTCACATAGCCCAGGCTGACCTTGAACTTGCTAAGTAGCTGAGGATAACCTGCTAACCCACCAAACCCTGTTTATCAGTGATGGAGATGGAACTCAGGGCCTTTGCATGCAGGCAAGCACTCTACCAGCCAAGTTACCTCCCCAGCGCTAACTTCTCTTTCCTTCTTCTTTTTTAAAAACAATTGTTTATTTTTATTTCATGTGCATTTGCATTTTGCCTGCATGTATATCTGTGTGAGAATGTTAGATGCCCTGGAACTAGAATTACAGTCAGTTGTGAGCTGCCCATGTGGGTGATGGGAATTGAACTCAGGACCTCTGGAAGAGCAGGCAGTGCTCTTGATCACTGAGCCCTGTCTCTAGCTGCCCCACCCCCAATTCTTTCCTTAATAAATTCAACTCTGCTTTATACCAACTCTTCCTAAAATCTTTTCTGCAGCTCCTCATGAGTGGAGATTTCTGAAAAGAACACTGCAGGCTGATGCAGACAGCAGTGTGGAACTTGTGTGCACAGGACCTCTGGGAATGGATTCGAGAAGCACCGGAAACACATAGAGGACCTGTATTGATTGGCCTCTAAGCATGGTAAACAGCCCAGTGGACTTGGGAATTGCTGTCTATGAGGAAGCAATGGACACCAAGCTCCTTGGATGCCAGGCTCCCTTTCAGCGAAGCACCCAGGATAGACAGGTTGCTACCAGCTGCTCTACAAACATTTGACTGAGCACAGCCTCACAAAGCTACACCCTGCTTAGTCACTGACAGGGTCACATTACAGAGATGGAGGATCGCTGGGTGCCAGTATCCAAACCCTCCAGAAGCTGGACCCCTGCTCTAAGCTCTTGGCAAATACTGGGTCCTCATGAGCACCTAGAATGTGGCTATTAACAGCATCCTTAGTTAACTGACAGGGAGGCCCAGGCACAGAGAAGCTGAAGAAGTTGCCTGAAGTCACACAGCAAGAGTAAAAAGATGAGGGTGACAGAGGTAAGAGCCATACAGGGCAAGCAGGGAAAAGGGCTCTTTGAGGGGTCTAGTGGGATCTCAGGGCCCCCTCAAGACCCATCTCTCTCTGTCTCTGTCTGTCTCTGTCTCTGTCTCTCTCTGTCTCTCTGTCTCTCTCTCTCTCTCTCTCTCTCTCTCTATATA